CTGGGATGAAGGATTACCAAGTTAGTTCAAATGAATGACCTTGACCAACTTTCAAAGGTCAAAGGGGTCAAATGTCATAAAATCTTCAAACGACTTCTTCTCAATAACCAAAAGGCCCAGGGTACTGATATTGGGCCTGTAGCATGCTGGGATGAAGGGCTACCAAGTTTGTTTAAATGAATGACATTGACCCACTTTCAAGGTCACTGGGGTCAGATGTCTTAAAATCTTCAAACAACTTCTTCTCAATAACCAAAAGGCCCAGGGTACTGATATTGGGCCTGTAGCATGCTGGGATGAAGGACTATCAAGTTTGTTCAACTGAATGACCTTGACCAACTTTCAAGGTCACAGGGGTCAAATGTCGTAAAATCTTCAAGCGACTTCTTTTCAATAAGCAAAAGGGCCAGGGTACTGAAATTGGGCCTGTAGCATGCTGGGATGAAGGATTACCATGTTAGTTCAAATGAATGACCTTGATCCACTTTCAACCTAATGTCCTTGTTCGACAATCAAGGTCAGAGGCGTCATATGTTTAAATCTTTTAATAGGTTCTTATGAAATCTTAAGATTACAAGTGTTAGATTAATAACAGGTGAGCGATGCAGGCCCATTGGGCCTCTTGTTTAGATATACCAGTGAAAATTTTGATATACAGGTGACTCATTATACATCTGATGTAATGTAACTGGTATCGATTGTCCTCTTTCTTGCGAAGAATTCTAGGCAATTTCTTCCTGCAGGACTTTGCTGCTGTCAGTTCAAACTGTGTGGACAGAGTCCGGCAGGCTTTTATACAGATGGACAGTTTGGCTGCTCAGGGCACAACAGGTAAAGTTTTTATGTGAAAATTTATTGATAAAATTCCGAACACACATCACATGTACACACTCAATTCATGAACATCTTTTGTCACACACATCTGTGACCTTAAAGTCAAATCCCTTGCAAGGAGTATAGTGTCCAGTCTTATCTAGTACACCGTATAGTGTATAGTGTCCAGTCTTGTCTAGTACACCGTATAGTGTATAGTGTTCAGTCTTATCTAGTACACCGTATAGTGTATAGTGTCCAGTCTTATCTAGTACACCTTATAGTGTATAGTGTCCAGGCTTATCTAGTACACCGTATAGTGCATAGTGTCCAGTCTTGTCTAGTACACCGGATAGGGTATAGTGTTCAGTCTTATCTCGTACACCGTATAGTGTATATTGTCCAGTCTTATCTAGTACCCTGTATAGTGTATAGTGTCCAGTCTTATCTAGTAGGCCGTATAGAGTATATTGTCCAGGCTTATCTAGTACACCGTATAGAGTATAGTGTCCAGTCTTATCTATTACACCGTATAGTGTATAGTCTCCAGTCTTATCTAGTACACCGGATAGTGTATAGTGTCCAGTCTTATCTAGTACACCGTATAGTGTATATTTGACCCTTTCAGTATCAATACCGTTGTAATATTTTCGAGAATGGACAAAGGTTTTCACCCAACAGGTTTAATTGTCATAGCCAAAATCTTTCTGAAATAGAAGTCCACAACGAAACTATTAAAACTTGTTTGGAAAAAGGGTGTAGCATGCAACAACAGGGACAACAATCAAAGGTTTTGTGTAGATAGCTACTATGCTGATGTTTTCTGTCTTCCAGGACTTGCTCAGTTGTCTAAGACCTTTAATCTCTGTAGCCCATTAGCAAGCAACAAAGAATATCGCCACCTGCTTGGTTGGATTAGAAATGGATTTACAGTTCTTGCCATGATGGATTATCCGTACCAAACCGACTTTTTGGGAAATCTGCCTGCTTTCCCTGTCCAGGTTTGTATAGTCATCACCATTCATACTTCTCAGTTATTTTTGTTGGCTCTGTTGGACATTAAAATTGAATAATTGTTTCTTCTTAAAATATTGATTTTAACACAATCTGTGGAAATGTTCTTCAATATATTGTTTTATCAAAACAATTGATTTTTAGATGTGATGAAATGTAAGATGTAATTTAAGAAATGGATATTTAATATGATTGTCCATATTATCAGGAGTTGTGATGAACATGTTGTAGGTAGCGTGTGTGTCCATACTGTCAGAACTTGTGGTGAACATGTTGTAGGTAGCGTGTGGGTCCATACTGTCAGAACTTGTGGTGAACATGTTGTAGGTAGCGTTTGTGTCCATACTGTCAGAACTTGTGGTGAACATGTTGTAGGTGGCGTGTGTGTCCATACTGTCAGAACTTGTGGTGAACATGTTGTAGGTGGCGTGTGTGTCCATACTGTCAGAACTTGTGGTGAACATATTGTAGGTGGCGTGTGTGTCCATACTGTCAGAACTTGTGGTGAACATGTTGTAGGTGGCGTGTGTGTCCATACTGTCAGAACTTGTGGTGAACATGTTGTAGGTGGCGTGTGTGTCCATACTGTCAGAACTTGTGGTGAACATGTTGTAGGTGGCGTGTGTGTCCATACTGTCAGAACTTGTGGTGAACATGTTGTAGGTGGCGTGTGTGTCCATACTGTCAGAACTTGTGGTGAACATGTTGTAGGTGGCGTGTGTGTCCATACTGTCAGAACTTGTGGTGAACATGTTGTAGGTGGCGTGTGTGTCCATACTGTCAGAACTTGTGGTGAACATGTTGTAGGTGGCGTGTGTGTCCATACTGTCAGAACTTGTGGTGAACATGTTGTAGGTGGCGTGTGTGTCCATACTGTCAGAACTTGTGGTGAACATGTTGTAGGTGGCGTGTGTGTCCATACTGTCAGAACTTGTGGTGAACATGTTGTAGGTGGCGTGTGTGTCCATACTGTCAGAACTTGTGGTGAACATGTTGTAGGTGGCGTGTGTGTCCATACTGTCAGAACTTGTGGTGAACATGTTGTAGGTGGCGTGTGTGTCCATACTGTCAGAACTTGTGGTGAACATGTTGTAGGTGGCGTGTGTGTCCATACTGTCAGAACTTGTGGTGAACATGTTGTAGGTGGCGTGTGTGTCCATACTGTCAGAACTTGTGGTGAACATGTTGTAGATGGCGTGTGTGTCCATACTGTCAGAACTTGTGGTGAACATGTTGTAGATGGCGTGTGTGTCCATACTGTCAGAACTTGTGGTGAACATGTTGTAGATGGCGTGTGTGTCCATACTGTCAGAACTTGTGGTGAACATGTTGTAGATGGCGTGTGTGTCCATACTGTCACAACTTGTGGTGAACATGTTGTAGATGGCGGGTGTGTCCATACTGTCAGAACTAGTGAACATGTTGTAGGTGGCGTGTGTGTCCATACTGTCAGAACTTGTGGTGAACATGTTGTAGGTGGCGTGTGGGTACATCACTAACGGTACAGATGTCATCCTCGGGCTTGCAAAGGCTGCAGGTCAGTACTCCCCATCAGGAGACTTATTGCTGTAAAATAATTGGTCATACTTACCAAAATATTGTTAACTTGCCTAGCTTTGTGAATCGTTTTAATCCAATTGCTTAAATGCTGTAACAGTGAACCAACTTCTGGGACAATTCTGGTGCTGTCCTTTACTCAGGTGACTGTTAAGGCCCTTTGGGCGTCTTGGTTGCCTTGTACCTTTACACCCTGCATATCTTCATCAATAAAGAAATATGCATCATAATCATATTTCTTTCCTTTTTATCCAAGACATCCTGTACAATTCCATCCCAGTCAAGTGTCACGACATTTTCAAGGAGTATGTGGAGTGTGCTGATCCCTCAGGATGTGGTCAAGGTCCTGACAGTATAGCCTGGGACTACCAGGTAGGTGGGTGTTGTCTGACAGTACAGCCTAGGCCTACCAGGTAGGTGGGTGTGGTCTGACAGTACAGCCTGGGCCTACCAGGTAGTATAGGTGGGTGTGGCCCTGACAGTAAAACCTGGGACTAACAGGTAGGTAGGTGTGGCCCTGACAGTACAGCCTGGGACTAACAGGTAGGTAGGTGTGGCCCTGACAGTACAGCGGTAGGTGGGTGTGATCTGACAGTACATCCTGGGACTACCAGGTAGGTGGGTGTGGCCCTGACAGTACATCCTGGGACTACCAGGTAGGTGGGTGTGGCCCTGACAGTACAGCCTCCGACTACCAGGTAGGTGGGTGTGATCTGACAGTACATCCTGGGACTACCAGGTAGGTGGGTGTGATCTGACAGTACATCCTGGGACTACCAGGTAGGTGGGTGTGGCCCTGACAGTACAGCCTGGGACTACCAGGTAGGTGGGTGTGGCCCTGACAGTACAGCCTCCGACTACCAGGTAGGTGGGTGTGATCTGACAGTACATCCTGGGACTACCAGGTAGGTGGGTGTGATCTGACAGTACATCCTGGGACTACCAGGTAGGTAGGTGTGGCCCTGACAGTACAGCCTAGGACTACCAGGTAGGTGGGTGTGGCCCTGACAGTACAGCCTCCGACTACCAGGTAGGTGGGTGTGATCTGACAGTACATCCTGGGACTACCAGGTAGGTGGGTGTGATCTGACAGTACATCCTGGGACTACCAGGTAGGTAGGTGTGGCCCTGACAGTACAGCCTAGGACTACCAGGTAGGTGGGTGTGGCCCTGACAGTACAGCCTCGGACTACCAGGTAGGTGGGTGTGGCCCTGACCGTACAGCCTCCGACTACCAGGTAGGTGGGTGTGATCTGACAGTACATCCTGGGACTACCAGGTAGGTGGGTGTGGCCCTGACAGTACAGCCTCCGACTACCAGGTAGGTGGGTGTGATCTGACAGTACATCCTGGGACTACCAGGTAGGTGGGTGTGATCTGACAGTACATCCTGGGACTACCAGGTAGGTAGGTGTGGCCCTGACAGTACAGCCTAGGACTACCAGGTAGGTGGGTGTGGCCCTGACAGTACAGCCTCGGACTACCAGGTAGGTGGGTGTGGCCCTGACAGTACAGCCTCCGACTACCAGGTAGGTGGGTGTGATCTGACAGTACATCCTGGGACTACCAGGTAGGTGGGTGTGATCTGACAGTACATCCTGGGACTACCAGGTAGGTGGGTGTGGCCCTGACAGTACAGCCTAGGACTACCAGGTAGGTGGGTGTGGCCCTGACAGTACAGCCTCCGACTACCAGGTAGGTGGGTGTGGCCCTGACCGTACAGCCTCCGACTACCAGGTAGGTGGGTGTGATCTGACAGTACATCCTGGGACTACCAGGTAGGTGGGTGTGGCCCTGACAGTACAGCCTCCGACTACCAGGTAGGTGGGTGTGATCTGACAGTACATCCTGGGACTACCAGGTAGGTGGGTGTGATCTGACAGTACATCCTGGGACTACCAGGTAGGTAGGTGTGGCCCTGACAGTACATCCTGGGACTACCAGGTAGGTGGGTGTGGCCCTGACAGTACAGCCTCCGACTACCAGGTAGGTGGGTGTGATCTGACAGTACATCCTGGGACTACCAGGTAGGTGGGTGTGATCTGACAGTACATCCTGGGACTACCAGGTAGGTAGGTGTGGCCCTGACAGTACAGCCTAGGACTACCAGGTAGGTGGGTGTGGCCCTGACAGTACATCCTGGGACTACCAGGTAGGTAGGTGTGGCCCTGACAGTACATCCTGGGACTACCAGGTAGGTGGGTGTGGCCCTGACAGTACAGCCTCCGACTACCAGGTAGGTGGGTGTGATCTGACAGTACATCCTGGGACTACCAGGTAGGTGGGTGTGATCTGACAGTACATCCTGGGACTACCAGGTAGGTAGGTGTGGCCCTGACAGTACAGCCTAGGACTACCAGGTAGGTGGGTGTGGCCCTGACAGTACAGCCTCCGACTACCAGGTAGGTGGGTGTGATCTGACAGTACATCCTGGGACTACCAGGTAGGTGGGTGTGATCTGACAGTACATCCTGGGACTACCAGGTAGGTGGGTGTGATCTGACAGTACATCCTGGGACTACCAGGTAGGTGGGTGTGATCTGACAGTACATCCTGGGACTACCAGGTAGGTAGGTGTGGCCCTGACAGTACAGCCTAGGACTACCAGGTAGGTGGGTGTGGCCCTGACAGTACAGCCTGGGACTACCAGGTAGGTGGGTGTGGCCCTGACAGTACATCCTGGGACTACCAGGTAGGTGGGTGTGATCTGACAGTACAGCCTGGGACTAACAGGTAGGTAGGTGTGGCCCTGACAGTACATCCTGGGACTACCAGGTAGGTGGGTGTGATCTGACAGTACAGCCTGGGACTAACAGGTAGGTAGGTGTGGCCCTGACAGTACATCCTGGGACTACCAGGTAGGTGGGTGTGATCTGACAGTACAGCCTGGGACTAACAGGTAGGTAGGTGTTGACCTGACAGTACATCCTGGGACTACCAGGTAGGTGGGTGTGATCTGACAGTACATCCTGGGACTACCAGGTAGGTGGGTGTGATCTGACAGTACAGCCTGGGACTAACAGGTAGGTAGGTGTGGCCCTGACAGTACATCCTGGGACTACCAGGTAGGTGGGTGTGATCTGACAGTACAGCCTGGGACTAACAGGTAGGTGGGTGTGGCCCTGACAGTACATCCTGGGACTACCAGGTAGGTGGGTGTGATCTGACAGTACATCCTGGGACTACCAGGTAGGTGGGTGTGATCTGACAGTACATCCTGGGACTACCAGGTAGGTAGGTGTGGCCCTGACAGTACAGCCTAGGACTACCAGGTAGGTGGGTGTGGCCCTGACAGTACAGCCTGGGACTACCAGGTAGGTGGGTGTGGCCCTGACCGTACAGCCTCCGACTACCAGGTAGGTGGGTGTGATCTGACAGTACATCCTGGGACTACCAGGTAGGTGGGTGTGGCCCTGACAGTACAGCCTCCGACTACCAGGTAGGTGGGTGTGATCTGACAGTACATCCTGGGACTACCAGGTAGGTGGGTGTGATCTGACAGTACATCCTGGGACTACCAGGTAGGTAGGTGTGGCCCTGACAGTACAGCCTAGGACTACCAGGTAGGTGGGTGTGGCCCTGACAGTACAGCCTGGGACTACCAGGTAGGTGGGTGTGGCCCTGACCGTACAGCCTCCGACTACCAGGTAGGTGGGTGTGATCTGACAGTACATCCTGGGACTACCAGGTAGGTGGGTGTGGCCCTGACAGTACAGCCTCCGACTACCAGGTAGGTGGGTGTGATCTGACAGTACATCCTGGGACTACCAGGTAGGTGGGTGTGATCTGACAGTACATCCTGGGACTACCAGGTAGGTAGGTGTGGCCCTGACAGTACAGCCTAGGACTACCAGGTAGGTGGGTGTGGCCCTGACAGTACAGCCTCGGACTACCAGGTAGGTGGGTGTGGCCCTGACAGTACAGCCTCCGACTACCAGGTAGGTGGGTGTGATCTGACAGTACATCCTGGGACTACCAGGTAGGTGGGTGTGATCTGACAGTACATCCTGGGACTACCAGGTAGGTAGGTGTGGCCCTGACAGTACAGCCTAGGACTACCAGGTAGGTGGGTGTGGCCCTGACAGTACATCCTGGGACTACCAGGTAGGTAGGTGTGGCCCTGACAGTACATCCTGGGACTACCAGGTAGGTGGGTGTGGCCCTGACAGTACAGCCTCCGACTACCAGGTAGGTGGGTGTGATCTGACAGTACATCCTGGGACTACCAGGTAGGTGGGTGTGATCTGACAGTACATCCTGGGACTACCAGGTAGGTAGGTGTGGCCCTGACAGTACATCCTGGGACTACCAGGTAGGTGGGTGTGGCCCTGACAGTACAGCCTCCGACTACCAGGTAGGTGGGTGTGATCTGACAGTACATCCTGGGACTACCAGGTAGGTGGGTGTGATCTGACAGTACATCCTGGGACTACCAGGTAGGTAGGTGTGGCCCTGACAGTACAGCCTAGGACTACCAGGTAGGTGGGTGTGGCCCTGACAGTACAGCCTAGGACTACCAGGTAGGTGGGTGTGGCCCTGACAGTACAGCCTAGGACTACCAGGTAGGTGGGTGTGGCCCTGACAGTACAGCCTAGGACTACCAGGTAGGTGGGTGTGGCCCTGACAGTACAGCCTCCGACTACCAGGTAGGTGGGTGTGGCCCTGACCGTACAGCCTCCGACTACCAGGTAGGTGGGTGTGATCTGACAGTACAGCCTAGGACTACCAGGTAGGTGGGTGTGGCTCTGACAGTACAGCCTAGGACTACCAGGTAGGTGGGTGTGGCCCTGACCGTACAGCCTCCGACTACCAGGTAGGTGGGTGTGGCCCTGACCGTACAGCCTCCGACTACCAGGTTAGGTTAAGTTTGTAATGGGTTGCTAGGCAGAAGACAGTAAGAAATCTATTCTTTATACCATGTACAGTTTTGAGATTAATCTCATATTTAATCAGTGATGTTTTTTGACAGGCCTGTACAGAGGTTCATCTTAGTGCAGGAAGTAACAACATGACAGACATGTTTCCTGTCCTTCCCTTCACTTCACAGATCCGGACAGAGTACTGCCAGCAGCGATGGAATGTCACCCCTAGAGACGACTGGGCCACCACACAGTTCTGGGGCAGGGGTAGGTCTACCTTGTAATATGTATAACTACTACAAAACTGTTGGGTGAAGTACTCCCACTTACTTGTACAATTTGTAACTGTAGGGGTTGAGATAGGGGATCTCAATCCAGAAAAAAAATCTTAATTTGACAAACAATTGACAAACCTTGAATTTGACCATTTAAATATCTTCTCTCTCGGGTTGAGAACCCTGAGGAGTAGGACCAAATAGGGCCATTTAGAGATATTACGTTAATGGACCTTTTCTTTAAACTAAGAGATGGTCATCAACCATATATTTGGTTGGAAGCATTCCCAGGTGGTGGGATTTCAAGGGTGTATAAATGCAGGGGTTGGAGGATGAGGTAAGATTTTGCTGAAATAAGAACTTTTACAATATATAATAGCTAAACTTGAAGATTTAAATACACATATGCTACCTTAATTGGTTCTTCAGACTGGCCCAACCCTAGGATTTTATTTGTAATTTTAATTTTACTGAGCATATTTTGTCATGATTGCTTCAATATCCAGGTGAGCAATATAGGCCATGTATGCCTGTTGGTTGGTTGTGTAACCTGAGAGGTTAGACAGCCAAATAATCACTCAGAGGGTAAGAGATTTCTCTGTTACACCCTGAAGATAGGTGATGATTATAAATAATCACTCAGAGGTGATGATTATGCTCCCATCATTCCAATACTATGTTTGAAAACAACAGTTTTCAGCATTTGTGATCTGTAGCCGATCCTGACTTACACATGACATCTCGAGTTTGTGATCTGTAGTCGATCCTGACTTACACATTGCATCTCGCGTTTGTAATCTGTAGCCGATCCTGACTGACACATGACATCTCGAGTTTGTGATCTGTAGCCGATACTGACTTCCACATGACAGCTCGCGTTTGTGATCTGTAGCATATCCTGACTTACACATGGCATCTCCCATTTGTGATCTGTAGCCGACCCTGACTTACACATGGCATCTCCCATTTGTGATCTGTAGCCGACCCTGACTTACACATGACATCTCGCATTTGGGATCTGTAGCCGATCCTGACTTCCACATGACTTCTCGCGTTTGTGATCTGGAGCCGATCCTGACTTCCACATGACATCTGGCGTTTGTGATCTGTGTCCTATCCTGACTGACATGACATATCGCTTTTGTGATCTGTGTCCTGTCCTGACTGACACATGACATTTCGCTTTTGTGATCTGTATCCTGTCGTGACTGACACATGACATCTCGAGTTTGTGATCTGTAGCCCATCCTGACTTACACATTACATCCCGCATTTGTGTTCTGTAGCCGATCCTGACTTCCACTTGACATCTCGCGTTTTTGATCTGTAGCCTATGCTGACTTACACATGACATATCGCGTTTGTGATCTGTATCCTATCCTGACTTACTTGACATCTCGCTTTTGTGATCTGTAGCCGACCCTGACTTACACATGGCATCTCCCATTTGTGATCTGTAGCATATCCTGACTTACACTTGACATCTGGTGTTTGTGATCTGTAGCCTATCCTGACTTACATGACATCTCGCTTTTGTGATCTGTATCCTGTCCTGACTGACACATGACATTTCGCGTTTGTGATCTGTAGCATATCCTGACTTACACATGACATCTCGTGTTTGTGATCTGTAGCCTACCCTGACTTACACATGACATCTCGCGTTTAGAGCTGACTGTTACCTCACGTCTGATTGTTCCTGTGACATCAGTGTGTTGCTGTTTAGCCCACCATCATCCGATGGTCGGCTATTCAAATCACCATTTGTTCATGATTCGTATTCGTCCATCCTTCCATCAATCATTCTGTCTGTCTCTCCTTAAACAATTCTTGTTAGTGCTATTTTTAAGAAAGTGCTTGAGGGATCTTTCTCAAATTTCACATAAAGGTTCCCCATGGTCCCTCATTATGCGTATCGAAATTTTGTACTGATCAGAAAATCAAAATGGCTGAGTTGGGCCAACTTGAATTTTGATATTTGAGGTATGTTGGCGCCCTTTCTCAGAAAGTACTGAAGTGATCTTTCTCAAATTTCACTCGAAAGTTCCCCTTGGTCCCTTACTTTTGACGCATATCAAATGTTTGGACTAATTGCAAAACCTAGATGGCCGACATTAAATAATATTTACATTGCATGGCATTGTCACTATATAGCCTCTTTGAAAGCTGTGTCGTTGATGGGACTTTAATTACCATGCAGCACGAGACATACTTCTTAGCGTATTAATACAACACTGACCGGAACTACAATATCCAATGTAAATAAACATAACTGCTGCTGAAATATCGCTAGGCATTGTGAGATTTGACAATGTCATTGTAAATTTATGTGCAAAATAAAAAATAAAATAAAAAATACTTTTATTACAACAAAAACAAGACCAAGGTCTGCAACATCGTACAAAATGCACATCGGTTGAAATCACCAATGCCGGCAATGCAAACAATTTTAACGCTCATGCAATTTATCAAAAATATCGCCCGTTACACTGCACTGATCAACAGGGGCTCGTTACAAATGTCTGAAATACACATAGTTTATAGACCTACTGACACATATGTTACAGACCTACTGATATGAGTCACAGCACACATAAACATTTCAGACATTGTAATGAACCCCTGTGCTCCGTCGCAAGATCATTTATCAGTTTCACGCGTCTCGCAGCCACTGTTTCATCAGTTTAACGCGTCTCGCAGCCACTGTTTCCTCAGTTTCTGACGACATGTCAAATAACTAGGCTGTTATATAATCTACAGACTGTAGTCAGATTCCCATACAATCAACAAATAAATTCACGTCTGGATTCTTCACAAAATGAGCAAAGAGAAAAGTTTGAATTGATTTCCAAAAATAACTCCCTCGTGGAGGTCAAGGTCGGATTTACGGTGTTCACTGTATATATCCATGCGCTAAATTTGTTCCGGAGAAAAATCGCAACAATTTCAAATCTTACTTTCAGCTCTGAGTTCTATTGATAAACTTAAATCACCCTATAGACATATCATACGCAATTGTATTTATACTGAATTGTGGAATAACATTGAAGTGTTTGTTAAAATTTCAAAGTACTACTTTGTTTGCCAATCAGCACACGACAAACCCGCCGTTCAAACTATTGTGTGGACTGTCGATAAGGCGGGCATTTTTAATTTTAAATATAAATTATAAGTTAAAAAAGAACATAAGAGGCAGAGAAAACGTAAATATAAGAATTGAACTGTTTTTGTATGGTATTTATGATCTATTTGAATGACACAGCTTTGCATGCAAACAAATCATAATGCGCTATGCTTAATTGTCACTAAATAAATGACTTGATTATCACCTGCAGATTTGGACAGAGCCAGCAACATAGTGTTTTCTAATGGTGATCTGGACCCCTGGAGAGGAGGTGGGGTAAGTACAAAGTTATGTCCCCCTGGATGGAGGTGTGTTAAGTTAAGGGTTATGTCCCCTGGAGGAGTAATCGGGTCAGTAAAGATTTGTGTCCCCCTGGAGGAGTAATGGGGTAAGTAAAGAGTTATGTTTCCTTTGAGGGGTTTGGGGTAAGCAAAGAGTTATGTCCCCTGGAGGAGTAATGGGGTAAGTAAAGAGTTATGTCTCCCTTGAGGGGGGTTGGGGTAAGCAAAGAGTTATGTCTCCCTGAAGGAGTAATGGGGCAAGTAAAGAGTGTTGTTCCCATGGAGGGGAGGGGGGGTAACTAAAGAGGTACGTCCCCCTGTAGGGGAGGAGGGGTAAGTTAAGAGTTATGTCCCCTGGAAGAAAGGTGGGTAAATAAAGAGTTATGTCCCCCTGGATGGAGGTGGGGTAAGTAAAGAGTTGTATCCCCTGGAGGAGTAATGGGGTAAGTAAAGAGTTATGTCCCCCTGGATGGAGGTGGGGTAAGTAAAGAGTTATGTCCCCTTGAGGAGTAATGTGGTAAGTAAAGAGTTGTGTCCCCTGGGGGAGTAATGGGATAAGTAAAGAGTTATGTCCCCTTGAGGAGTAATGTGGTAAGTAAAGAGTTGTGTCCCCTGGGGGAGTAATGGGATAAGTAAAGAGTTATGTCCCCTTGAGGAGTAATGTGGTAAGTAAAGAGTTGTGTCCCCTGGGGGAGTAATGGGATAAGTAAAGAGTTATGTCCCCTTGAGGAGTAATGTGGTAAGTAAAGAGTTATGTCTTCCTTGAGGGGTTTGGGGTAAGCAAAGAGTTATGTCTCCCTGAACAAGTAATGGGGTTAGTAAAGAAGTTTGACCGTAATGGGGCAAGTAAAGAGTGTTGTTGCCCTGGAGGGGAGGGGGGTAAGTAAAGAGGTATGTCCACTGGAGGAGTAATAGGGGTAAGTTAAGAGATATGTCGCCTGGAAGAGAGGTGGGGAAAATAAAGAGTTATGTCCCTCATGATGGAGGTCGGGTAAGTAAACAGTTGTGTCCCCTGGAGGAGTAATGGGGTCAGTAAAGATTTGTGTCCCCCTGGAGGAGTAATGGGGTCAGTAAAGATTTGTGTCCCCCTGGAGGAGTAATGGGGTCAGTAAAGATTTATGTCCCCCTGGATGGAGGTGTGTTAAGTTAAGGGTTATGTCCCCTGGAGGAGTAATCGGGTCAGTAAAGATTTGTGTCCCCCTGGAGGAGTAATGGGGTCAGTAAAGATTTATGTCCCCCTGGATGGAGGTGGGGTAAGTAAAAAGTTATGTCCCCTGGAGGACTAATGGGGTAAGTAAAGCGTTGTGTCCCCTGGAGGAGTAATGGGGTCAGTAAAGATTTGTCCCCCTGGATGGAGGTGTTTTAAGTTAAGGGTTATGTCCCCTGGAAGGGAGGTTGGGTAAGAGTTATGTCTCCCTGAACAAGTAATGGGGTTAGTAAAGAAGTTTGACCGTAATGGGGCAAGTAAAGAGTGTTGTTGCCCTGGAGGGGAGGGGGGTAAGTAAAGAGGTATGTCCCCTGGAGGAGTAATAGGGGGAAGTTAAGAGTTATGTCCCCTGGAAGAAAGGGGGGTAAATAAAGAGTTATGTTCCTCATGATGGAGGTCGGGGAAGTAAAGAGTTGTGTCCCCTGGAAGAGTAATGGGTTAAGTAAGTTATGTCCCCCTGGAGGGGAGATGGGTAAGTAAAGAGTTATGTCCCCCTGGATGGAGGTGTTTTAAGTTAAGGGTTATGTCCCCTGGAAGAGAGTTTGGGTAAATAAATAAAGAGTTGTGTCCTGGGTAAGCAAAGAGTTATGTCTCCCTGAAGGAGAAATGGGGCAAGTAAAGAGTGTTGTTGCCCTGGAGGGGAGGGGGGTAAGTAAAGAGTTATGTCCCCTTGAGGAGTAATGTGGTAAGTAAAGAGTTATGTCTCCCTTGAGGGGTTTTGGGTAAGCAAAGAGTTATGTCTCCCTGAACAAGTAATGGGGTTAGTAAAGAAGTTTGACCTCCTGTAGGGGGGGGGTTGGGGGGTAAGAGTTACGTCCCCCTATAGGGGAGGAGGGGTAAGTAAAGAGTTATGTCCCCTGGAAGAGAGTTTGGGTAAATAAATAAAGAG